ATAGTGATGAGCGGTTGGGAGGTCGTACTAGCAACAAATCAGAATGGGTGGGAGGTCTATTTGCACCAACCTATTAGACTGAGGAGGGTTTGTGATAGGTTGCTCTGTTTAAGGAGGCCCTATATAGGCCTGTGATTACACACACAAGAATAGCTTGTTTTTTTCCTCTCCAACAAAGCTATAATGACAACTCCGCATAGATCTCAGATGTCATCGAAAAGACGCTCCCTAACAACGAAAGGCCTTAAGCGGAAACCGTACACCGTCACACGCCGAGGGAGAAGTGATGCGTCTTATACATATACGTACGCAGCTGGGTATGTTATTTTTGGGGAGGAAGCCATGTCGATAGCGAGTTGGTTCCATTTCAGGACTCACTCCAACGCTATAAATACGGCTATGGTTAAAAATGTAGAGTATAGACATTTTTGGAGAGAGGATAATAAGGGTGATTACGAGCTAGTGGTTACGAATGACCCTGCAGACGTAGAAAACAAGGGTCTTGTGAGAACCGTGAGGAAGCGACATCTAACCCCTGAAGTGGCTGCAAATTTTATAGACATTCTTAATAACACTCCTCACTTGGTTTTACCCGCCCCCTGTGATCTGTTAGCAAATGATTTTAACAGTAGACTCAAAACTACGTTAGATCAGGTTGCTCCTTTGAAAACAAAAACTACCGGAACAAAATCTGTACCCCCATGGAGGAACGAAGAAGTAAGGAGAATGAAAAGAGAGTGCAGGGTGGCGGAACGTAGGTGGAGGAAAAACAAAACAACAATCAATTACGAAATGTACAGTAACCAACAAAAAACATACAACAAAACAATTAGGAAAAACCGAAACAATTATTTCTCAAAACTAATCACCCAAAACAAAAACAATGCGAAAGTCCTATTTTCAACCATTGACACCATTTTAAACCCTGATTTTAGCATGTCTCGTTTAACCCTCACAGACTCCCTCTGTGAGGATTTTGCAGTCCACTTCATGGGGAAGATAAACACAATCAGATGTAACATTTTATCCAATTGTACTACTGTTTTTAACACATCTGATTGTTTGTCTTCGCCAGAGGAAACACTGGACAGTTTTGTCCTGGTTGATGCTGAGATGCTTGATAAAGTTTTCTCCTCAGTGAGGCCCACCACATGTCTTTTAGATCCAGTCCCCACTCCATTTTTTAAGTCATTTTATGAATCTTTTAGAGAGGAGCTTTTAAACCTGATGAATTGCTCTCTTCAGACTGGGGTCTTTCCTGCAGCCTTCAAAGCGGCTGTGGTGAGACCCCTTCTGAAGAAGAGCAATTTAGATTTTAATGATCTTAACAACTACAGACCGGTGTCCAACTTACCATTTTTAAGCAAAATTTTAGAAAAACTTGTTTTTACCCAGCTCAATGCCTTTTTAGATCAACAGCAAATTTTAGAGACATTTCAATCAGGTTTTAGGGTGAACCACAGCACAGAGACGGCTCTTTTAAAGATTTTAAATGATTTTAGATTAAATTATGATTCTAAAAAGGTGACTGTGTTGGTTCTACTGGATCTTAGCGCTGCCTTCGACACAGTAGACCACACCATTCTTTTATCCCGCCTGAAACACCTCGGCCTCTCTGGTGCTGTCCACAAATGGTTCACTTCTTATTTGACAGACCGATCCTTCATGGTAAGTTTGGATACCTGCTCCTCTCAGGTCCATAAAATCACATGTGGTGTGCCCCAGGGTTCCATTTTAGGTCCAGTCCTTTTTAACCTGTACATGCTCCCTCTTGGCGGTGTCATCAGGAGGCATGGAATTAACTTCCACAGTTATGCAGATGATACACAGCTGTACATCTCCATGTCTCCTGACGACACCAGGCCAATGGATGCTCTTTTTAACTGCATTTTAGACCTGAAATCCTGGATGGCAGAAAACTTTCTCCAGCTCAACCAGGACAAAACTGAGGTTTTAGTCATCGGTCCTGAGGCCCAGAGAGAGAAACTTTTACCAAAACTCCAATCACACTCTTTTAATCCATCATCACAAGTGAAAAACCTGGGCGTAATCTTTGACTCTGAGCTGACTTTTATTCCTCACATTAAGAATATAACAAAAATAGGTTTTTATCATTTGAAGAACATCGCCAGAGTCCGCCCCATTCTCTCTCGGGCCAACACGGAGACGCTGATGCATGCTTTTATCACCAGTCGCATTGACTACTGTAATGCCCTGCTCTCTGGTCTTCCCAAAAAGAACATTTCAGGTTTACAATTACTTCAAAACTCGGCCGCACGTGTCCTGACTAAGACCAGGGGGCGGGACCACATTACACCGGTTTTAAAATCGCTGCATTGGCTCCCCGTGTGTTTCAGGATTGATTTTAAGGTTCTTTTAATGGTTTTCAAATGTCTTAATGGTCTTGGGCCTTCTTATCTTTCAGAACTGCTTTTATCCTATGAACCTTCCCGGCCCCTGCGCTCCTCCGGCAGCAGACTCCTAACCATCCCCAAAGTCAGGACACACACTCACGGCGAGGCATCTTTCCAGCACTACGGCCCCCGTCTCTGGAACAGTCTGCCGGAGGAGCTCAGGGTCGCAGAGAACATTCATATTTTTAAAGCCAGGCTCAAGACACACCTTTTTAGATTAGCTTTTGATTAGTATTTATTAGTCCATTTTTATATATTCTATTTATCCTTTATTATTTATTATATTGCTATTGCTTTTATTCATGTTTTGTGTGATAGTTCCTCTCAGGCTCACATTTTAGTGTTTTACTTATTGTATTGTTTTTAAGTATCCCCAGTGTTTCCTCTGGAGGAGCCTTCTGCGCTGGGAGCGGTGGTTGGCTGTGGCTGTGGGGGTCGGACTCTTGGACCTGGTGGGGGCCCGGGGCCTCGGTTTTGGGTCTCCTCTGGGTCCTGTGTCGTCCCCTTTGGCTATGGGCGGCTCTCTGCTCCTGGCGCTGACGGCTCCTTGGATGGCGTTTCTTCAGCCGGTTGCATCTGAACCCTGCCAAGTCTCTTATCGTCGTTTTATTGTTTTATCGGTGCGTGTGTGTGTGCGCGTGTGTGTGTGTGTGGGGGGGGGGGGGGGGGGTGTTTGCTTGTGGTCTGGGGAGGGTCTGTTGGGCGGTCGGGGGGAGGGCATGGGCAGGATTGTTTTTTAGCCAAACTGTAAAGCACTTTGTGTTGCATCTGTTGTATGAAAAAGCGCTTTATAAATAAACTTTGATTGATTGATTGATTGATTGATTGATCCAAAGTGGTGTCTAATTACTAATGTTTAGCAGCAGACGTATGGACCTCCAGTCTGAAATCACTTAATGGCTAGATAAGTAGACAACCTCTTCCTGATGGAGAAACTTGAAGATTGGAGTTCATCCCATCTTTACCATCTGGATTACAATTACCTCACTGTCAGGTTAGGGAAGAGCCTGTCTGGGACTGTTGTGAGCAATATGGGAGCACCACAGGGGTTCTGGCTCCCTTCTCCTTCACTATTTACACTGCAGACTTTGCAAACAACTCCGCTACATGCCATGTACAAAAATACTCGGACGATACCGCAGTTGTGCCTTGTGTGAAGGGGGGGGCCTTCTCAGACTGGAGTGAGAGAAATGGTTTGATTCTCAATGCGTCCAAGACCAAAGAGACGATCACTGACTTTCTGAGGAGCCCTTCCCATCAACCGATCACATTAAATGCACAGGACATCGAAGTGGTTCAGTCCTACAAATACCTGAGAGTCTATGTACTTCTCTGCCGACAGTTACTTTTGGTGCAGCATTTCCCTTAGACCTCTCCCATATCTGAGTGGCTTTAGCTGACATGTCTGGTAACCGATATGGGTGAAGGTGCTCGAGCTACTTTAAGGCAGTCTCAACTTGATGATAAAAGCTCTCGACCAATGTTCTGAATTGTGTGACATTGTGCAAATGGGCCTCACAGTGCTTAAACCTATTCAGGAGGTTGATCCACAATAGAACGACAAATAATACAACATACTTCAGCGGCTGTTGTATGGCCATTCTTCATCAAGTTCTAGAGGAAGAGGTTGGCCATAACCAGACCCCTGAAAGCCGAAACATGGCTGAGTATCTACAGAGACATTTGAGAGAAGTGCAACTTCCTTCAATCAATGTGCATCATGTCCCTGTCTACTTTACTTTAGTAAGTAATCTTTATTTTATATACCGCCTCTCACAGACCAGAGTCACAAAGCAGTTTACAATTGTTATTTTTTGGGCATTTGTCTGTCACTCCACACAGAGATGGGAGCGGTACAGGAGGCGCATGCCAGACCTATTGTTTTTAGTGGTAGGGGAAACCGGAGTACCGGCAGGAAACCTACGCAGACACGGGGAGAACATGCAAACTCCACCCAGAGTCCCTGTTCCGACCGGAATTCGAACCCAGGACCTTCTTGCTGAGAGGCTAGAGTGCTATCCACTCTCCACCACCATGCCGCCTGTTAAAAATAGCTGTCTTCAAAGCAGAGGAAGAAAGGGTTGATCAAAACTTGCCATAACATATCTAGACTCCTGCATCATCTGTGCCTTGTGAAAGTTGTATTCAAAAGCAGATTAAATCCTTTGCAAAAAAGTCAATACTTTATATTTTTAAAATACAAATTTATATTTATTTTACAGTCAATTGTTGCATAAGCACGAACAAGAATCGTAAGCACATTTTACATTACCACTCTCTCCACACTCAACTGTTCTCTTTCAGCTCATGTTCAGACCACCTCATTTGATATAACCCTGTAGCATGTAATGCATTTAGTGTCCACATGATGGCGTAATGGAGCATATGAAGCTCATTGAAGCTTCAAAGTTGGTGGCCATGCCTCACTCAAGCTGTATATATCAAAACAAATGTGAAAACTTTATCCAGTACATGTAATACACTCTAAAGATCCTTTTTCTTCTTAACAATAAATATCTGATTTCATTAAATAAATATAAGAAAAGACCAAATAAAAAATAAGTTATTGCATTTGACTGGCAAATTCTATTTGACATTGCAGGGGCAGCCAAAACGGATCTTGTAGTTTAGGCAGCGGCGTCCCTTTTGATCTCGGTTGCGGCAAACAAATCCTTCAGTAAGACTGAACCTAAAAGCGTGAGAAAAAAAGATGATTGTAAAATTAAATTCACTGTTACAATACTCCGGGTTGGTTCTTAAATGTTATAGATAGTGTAAGTTTGAAAGCAATGTGATTATAGAAATAAACCATCCATCCATCCATCCATTTTCTACCCTTTAATCCATTTCTGGGTCAGGGGGGTGGCAATCAGAGATGCCACCCAAGTCTCATAGCACCAGCCCATAGAAATAAATAAACCAGAGATTATATATTAGATTTGAACAGAATTAGAACTGAATGAAGCCTAACAGCGGAACTAGGTGAATTACAGCCATAAAAATGTTTCTCCTAAGTCCCACCCATGTTGCGTGGTAGAGTTAGCTCAAATTAGTGTTTTCCAGGATAAGCTAAGGGTTCATGTTCACAGCAAACATACCATATGAGTAGTCAAGTTACATTACATATAAGCATCCAGATTTCACTTGTAGTGCAGCCAAACAGAGAACGTTACTTACTTGTAGAAATTTTGCCCAGTGTAATCAGCAGGAGTATTTGTGTTTGTGGAGTGAACATCAATGTACAGAGGGCTTTCACAGATTTCTCCTGGATTCTCATTTCTTAAGTTATTAAAAATCTCCCAGTCTCCTAAGCCATTCGGGGTGTCACGGTCAAACCATTGAGTCCAGCACACTAACATGGAACACGAGGTAATAACACAAGTGAATTAGAATCATAACACACTTACAAATATATGGGACAAAGGCTAACAAACCACACCTTTTTGACGGCAAAATTCTAAAGGACACATAAAGCGGACTTTGTAATCATGGCATTTGCAGCCTTTCTGATCTTTGTTTAAACAAACAAAGCCAGACATAGGGTTGTATCTGCAGAAACAACAACAGTTTCTCATTACCATTTTCTTTGTTTAATTTACAGTAAACAGTGAATACTTACTTTGCTATGACGTTTCCAGCAGATTCTGGGGTCCTACCAGATGTTGTCTCTGCTTCAATCCAAACGGGTTCATTGCAGATCTTCCCAGGATTTTCAATATACAGATTCTCAAGGGTTTCCCAGTCGCCTGTGTCTGTTGGGTCATCTCTGTCAAACCATTCAGTCCAACAACCTTCACCAACAAAAACAAGCATGTGTTTAGACTTTCTTTTCTACCGAACCCACTCAAACATCTAACAAATAACCCTCACCAGTGTCAGCAGGTATGTCTTTGTGACAGCCAGAATCACCACTTCCTGTGGAACGGTTCCTTTCATCTCTTCTACTGTTTATGTCTTCAACTCTCTCTTCACTGCTGGCCATGTTTCTGCTGGTGTCTTGATTATTGCTATTATCAGGAGCTGTGGATTTTGTGGTTGTAATTGTAGTGGGAGCTGTGATTGTAGTTGTAATTGTGGTTGGAACTATACTATTGATGCCTTCATGAACGGGTTGAAGGCACTTTCTCTTTAATGGTCCTTGAATTCCACTGGTTCTGCCATTGCCTTGAGTAATATTGTTATCCTTCCCAGTGGTTGTGGTTGGATTTGTGGATGGGACAGTAGTTGTTGTATTTTGAACTGTGGTTGTTGTGGTTGTTGTAGGTGTAGCCGTGGTTGTAGCGACACTGTTTTCTTGATCAAAGTATTGAAGGCATTTTCTCTTCATTGTTCCCTGATTTCTACTGATTCCACTGTTGCGTTGACTACTGGTGTTTCCTTGAGCAGTGGTTGCAATTGGAACATTGGTAGTAGATGGAGAAGGGGTTGTTGTGGTTGGAGCAGTGGTTACAGTCGCATCTGTGGTTGTAGTTGGAGCTGTAGTTGCATTTGAAACTACAAAGTATTGAGGACACTTTCTCTTTAGCGTTCCTTGGTTTCCACTGGTTCTAATGTTGCCTTGATTGTTGTTCTCCCGATGACTGTCAGTTCTTGTGGTTTGAGCTGAGCTTGCTGTGGTTGGAGCTGTGGTTGTTGTGGTTGAAGCTGTGGTTGTTGTGGTTGGATATACATTGTTGTAGCCCCCATCATAGGATTGAGTGCATTTTCTCTTTAGTGTTCCTTGATTTCCACCGTTGCTTTCCTGAGCAGTGGTTGTAGCTGTAACTGTGGCTGTAGCTGGAACTGTGGTTGTAGCTGGAACTGTGGTTGTAGCTGGAACTGTGGTTCTCTTTGGAAATTTAGTTGCTGAAACAGCATCAACGTATTGAGGGCATTTTCTTTTCAGAGTTCCTGGAATTCCACTGGTTCTGTTGTTGCCTTGAGTAATGTTTTCCTGGTTACAGTCAGTGATTGTGGTTGAAATTGTGGTGGTTGTGGTTGGAGATACACTGTTGTGGCCCTTTTCAAAGGTTTGAGGGCATTTTCTATTTAGCGTACCTTTATTTCCACTGTTGCTTTTCTGAGCAGTGATTGTTGCAGAAACTGTAGTTGTGGTGGTTGGAACTGAAGTTGATGTGGTTGGAACTCTAGTTGTGGTTGAATATACAAAGTATTGAGAGCATTTTCTCTTTAGTGTTCCTTGATTTCCACTGGTTCTGTCATTGCCTTGACTATTGTTGTTCTGATTACAGTCGGTTGCTGTGGTTACAGCTGTTCCTTCATTACTACCACTTTCCTGACTACTGCTGTTTTCATCACTATTGCTTTGCGGTTTATTTTTAGATGTGGTTGGAACAGTAGTGGCTGTACTTGGAACTGTGGTTGGACCTGTGGTCGGAATTGTAGTTGTTGGAACTGTAGTTGTTGTGGTTGGAACTGTAGTTGTGGTGGTTGGAAGTGTGGTTGATGTTGCTGGAAATTTAGTTGTGGTTGCTGGAACTGTAGTTGTAGTTGAAACTGTGGTTGATGTGGTTGCATCTGTAGTTGTGGTTGTAGTTGGAATTGTAGTTGTGGTTTCTGGAACTGTCGTTATTGTGGTTGGAACTGTGGTTGCTGTGGTTGGAACAGTGGGGTTTGTAGATTGAACTGTGGTTGTTGTGGTTGAAGTTGTTTGTTCATTACTATTGCTTTGGTGACTACTGCTGTTTTCATCACTATTGCTTTGTGGTTTATTTTTAGTTGTAGTTGGAACTGTAGTTGTGGTTGCTGGAACTGTAGTTGTTGTAGTTGAAATTGTGGTTGATGTGGTTACGTCTGTAGTTGTTGTGGTTGGAAGTGTTCTTGTGGTGGTTGGAAGTGTGGTTGCTCTAGTTGGAACCATGGTTGTTGTGGTTGCAGTTGGAACTGTAGTTGGTGATGTTGGAGCCATGGTGGTTGCAGTTGGAACTGTAGTTGGTGATTTGGGAACCTTGGTGGTTGTGGTTGTAGTTGTGGTTGCATCTGTAGTTGTGGTTGTAGTTGGAACTGTATTTGTGGTTGCTGGAACTTTAGTTGTGGTTGGAACTGTAGTTGTGGTGGTTGGAAGTGTGGTTGTGGTTGTTAGTACTGTAGTTGTGGTGGTTGGAACTGTAGTTGTGGTTGCTGGAACTGTAGTTGTTGTAGTTGAAATTGTGGTTGCATCTGTAGTTGTTGTGGTTGGAAATGTACTTGTGGTGGTTGGAAGTGTGGTTGCTCTAGTTGGAACCATGGTAGTTGTGGTTGTAGTTGGAACTGTAGTTGTGGTTGCTGGAACTGTAGATGTGCTTGCTGGAACTGTAGTTGTGGTTGCTGGAACTGTAGTTGTTGTAGTTGTCGATGTAGTTGTTGATGTTGGAACCTTGGTGGTTGTGGCTGTAGTTGGAACTGTAGTTGTAGTGGTTGGAACTGTAGTTGTTGTGAATGGAACAGTGGCTGTTGTGGTTGCATCTGTAATTGTGGTAGCTGGAACTGTAGTTGTGGTTGCTGGAACTGTCGTTGCTGTGGTTGGACCAGTGGCGGTTGTAGATTGAACTGTGGTTGTTGTGGTTGAAGTTGTTTGTTCATTACTGTTGCTTTCCTGACTACTGCTGTTTTCATCACTATTGCTTTGTGGTTTATTTTTATTTGTAGTTGGAACTGTAGTTGTGGTTGCTAGAACTGTAGTTGTGGTTGCTGGAACTGTAGTTGTGGTTGCTGGAACTGTAGTTGTTGTGGTTGGAACTGTAGTTGTGGTGGTTAGAAGTGTGGTTGATGTTGCTGGAACGGTAGTTGTGGTTGCTGGAACTGTAGTTGTTGTTGTTGGAACTGTGGTTGTTGTGGTTGGAACTGTAGTTGTTGATGTTGGAACCATGGAGGTTGTAGTTGGAAATGTAGTTGTTGAGGTTTGAACCTTGGTGGTTGTGGTTGTAGTTGGAACTGTAGTTGCGGTTGCTGGAACTGTAGATGTGCTTGCTGAAACTGTAGTTGTGGTTGCTGGAACTGTATTTGTTGTTGGATCTCTGGTTGTTGTGGTTGGAACTGTAGTTGTTGATGTTGGAACCTTCGTGGTTGTGGATGTAGTTGGAACCGTAGTTGTAGTGGTTGGAACAGTGGTGGTTGTAGATTGAACTGTGGTTGTTGTGGTTGAAGTTGTTTGTTCATTACTGTTGCTTTCCTGACTACTGCTGTTTTCATCACTATTGCTTCGTGATTTATTTTTAGTTGTAGTTGGAACTTTAGTTGTGGTTGCTGGAACTGTAGTTGTTGTGGTTGGAACGGTAGTTGTGGTGGTTGGAAGTGTGGTTGATGTTGCTGGAACGGTAGTTGTGGTTGCTGGAATTGTAGTTGTAGTTGAAACTGTGGTTGAATCTGTAGTTGTTGTGGTTGGAAATGTACTTGTTGTGGTTGGAAATGTGGTTGCTCTAGTTGGAACCATGGTAGTTGTGGTTGTAGTTGGATGTGTAGTTGTGGTTGCTGGAACTGTAGTTGTTGTTGTTGGAACTGTGGTTGTTGTGGTTGGAACTGTAGTTGTTGACGTTGGAACCATGGTATTGTGGTTGAAGTTGTTTGTTCATTACTGTTGCTTTCCTGACTATTGCTTTGTGGTTTATTTTTAGTTGTAGTTGGAACTGTAGTTGTGGTTGCTGGAACTGTAGTTGTTGTAGTTGAAATTGTGGTTGATGTGGTTAAGTCTGTAGTTGTTGTGGTTGGAAGTGTGGTTGCTCTAGTTGGAACCATGGTAGTTGTTGTTGTAGTTGGAACTGTAGTTGTGGTTGCTGGAACTGTAGATGTGCTTGCTGGAACTGTAGTTGTGGTTCGTGGAACTGTAGTTGTGTTGGAACTGTGTTGTTGTGGTTGCATCTGAGTTGTGGTTGCTGGAACTGTAGTTGTGGTCGCTGGAACTGTAGTTGTGGTTGCTGGAACTGTAGTTGTTGTGGTTGGAACTGTGGTTGTTGTGGTTGGAACAGTGGTGGTTGTAGATTGAACTGTGGTTGTTGTGGTTGAAGTTGTTTGTTCATTACGGTTGCTTTCCTGACTACTGCTGTTTTCATCACTATTGCTTTGTGGTTTTTTTGTAGTTCTAGTTGGAACGGTAGTTGTGGTTGCTGGACCTGTAGTTGTAGTTGAAACTGTAGCTGATGTGGTTGCATCTGTAGTTGTTGTGGCTGGAACTGTAATTGTGGTGGTTGCTCTAGTTGGAACCATGGTAGTTGTGGTTGTATTTGGAAATGTAGTTGTTGATGTTGGAACTGTAGTTGTTATGATTGGAACTTTGGTTGCTGTGGTTGGAACAGTGGTGGTTGTAGACTGAACTGTGGTTGTTGTGGTTGAAGTTGTTTGTTCATTACTGTTGCTTTCCTGACTACTGCTGTTTTCATCACTATTGCTTTGTGGTTTATTTTTAGGTGTAGATGGAACTGTAGTTGTGGTTGCTGGAACTGTAGTTTTTGTTGGAACTGTGGTTGTTGTGTATGCATCTGTAGTTTTGGTTGCTGGAACTGTAGCTGTGGTTGCTGGAACTGTAGTTGTGGTTGCTGGAACGGTAGTTGTGGTTGCTGGAACTGTAGTTGTTGAAGTTGAAACTGTGGTTGTTGTGGTTGCATCTGTAGTGGATGTGGTTGGAAATGTACTTTTGGTGGTTGGAAGTGTAGTTTCTCTAGTTGGAACCATGGTTGTTGTGGTTGTAGTTGGAACTGTAGTTGTTGATGTTGGAACCATGGTGGTTGTGGTGGTAGTTGGAACTCTAGTTGTTGATGTTTGAACCATGGTGGTTGTGGTTGGAACTTTAGTTTTTGTGAATGGAACAGTGGCTGTTGTGGTTGCATCTGTAGTTGTGGTTGTAATTGGAACTGTAGTTGTGGTTGCCGGAACTGTGGTTGTTGTGGTTGTAGTTGTTTGTTCATTACTGTTGCTTTCTTGACTACTGCTGTTTTCATCACTATTGCTTTGTGGTTTATTTTTAGTTGTAGTTGGAACTGTAGTTGCGGTTGCTAGAATTGTAGTTGTGGTTGCTGGAACGGTAGTTGTGGTTGCTGGAACTGTAGTTATTGAAGTTGAAACTGTGGTTGATGTGGTTGGAAATGTACTTGTGGTGGTTGGAAGTGTGGTTTCTCTAGTTGGAACCATGGTCGTTGTGGTTGTAGTTAGAACTGTAGTTGTTGATGTTGGAACCATGGTGGTTGTGGTGGTAGTGGGAACTCTAGTTGTTGATGTTTGAACCATGGTGGTTGTGGTTGGAACTTTAGTTTTTGTGAATGAAACAGTGGCTGTTGTGGTTGCATCTGTAGTTGTGGTTGCTGGAACTGGAGTTGTGGTAGCTGGAACTGTAGTTGTAACTGTCGTTATTGTGGTTGGAACTGTGGTTGCTGTGGTTGGAACAGTGGGGTTTGTAGATTGAACTGTGGTTGTTGTGGTTGAAGTTGTTTGTTCATTACTATTGCTTTGGTGACTACTGCTGTTTTCATCACTATTGCTTTGTGGTTTATTTTTAGTTGTAGTTGGAACTGTAGTTGTGGTTGCTGGAACTGTAGTTGTTGTAGTTGAAATTGTGGTTGATGTGGTTACGTCTGTAGTTGTTGTGGTTGGAAGTGTTCTTGTGGTGGTTGGAAGTGTGGTTGCTCTAGTTGGAACCTGGTTGTTGTGGTTGCAGTTGGAACTGTAGTTGGTGATGTTGGAGCCATGGTGGTTGTAGTTGGAACTGTAGTTGGTGATTTGGGAACCTTGGTGGTTGTGGTTGTAGTTGTGGTTGCATCTGTAGTTGTGGTTGTAGTTGGAACTGTATTTGTGGTTGCTGGAACTTTAGTTGTGGTTGGAACTGTAGTTGTGGTGGTTGGAAGTGTGGTTGTGGTTGTTAGTACTGTAGTTGTGGTGGTTGGAACTGTAGTTGTGGTTGCTGGAACTGTAGTTGTTGTAGTTGAAATTGTGGTTGCATCTGTAGTTGTTGTGGTTGGAAATGTACTTGTGGTGGTTGGAAGTGTGGTTGCTCTAGTTGGAACCATGGTAGTTGTGGTTGTAGTTGGAACTGTAGTTGTGGTTGCTGGAACTGTAGATGTGCTTGCTGGAACTGTAGTTGTGGTTGCTGGAACTGTAGTTGTTGTAGTTGTCGATGTAGTTGTTGATGTTGGAACCTTGGTGGTTGTGGCTGTAGTTGGAACTGTAGTTGTAGTGGTTGGAACTGTAGTTGTTGTGAATGGAACAGTGGCTGTTGTGGTTGCATCTGTAATTGTGGTAGCTGGAACTGTAGTTGTGGTTGCTGGAACTGTCGTTGCTGTGGTTGGACCAGTGGCGGTTGTAGATTGAACTGTGGTTGTTGTGGTTGAAGTTGTTTGTTCATTACTGTTGCTTTCCTGACTACTGCTGTTTTCATCACTATTGCTTTGTGGTTTATTTTTTATTTGTAGTTGGAACTGTAGTTGTGGTTGCTAGAACTGTAGTTGTGGTTGCTGGAACTGTAGTTGTGGTTGCTGGAACTGTAGTTGTTGTGGTTGGAACTGTAGTTGTGGTGGTTAGAAGTGTGGTTGATGTTGCTGGAACGGTAGTTGTGGTTGCTGGAACTGTAGTTGTTGTTGTTGGAACTGTGGTTGTTGTGGTTGGAACTGTAGTTGTTGATGTTGGAACCATGGAGGTTGTAGTTGGAAATGTAGTTGTTGAGGTTTGAACCTTGGTGGTTGTGGTTGTAGTTGGAACTGTAGTTGCGGTTGCTGGAACTGTAGATGTGCTTGCTGGAACTGTAGTTGTGGTTGCTGGAACTGTATTTGTTGTTGGATCTCTGGTTGTTGTGGTTGGAACTGTAGTTGTTGATGTTGGAACCTTCGTGGTTGTGGATGTAGTTGGAACCGTAGTTGTAGTGGTTGGAACAGTGGTGGTTGTAGATTGAACTGTGGTTGTTGTGGTTGAAGTTGTTTGTTCATTACTGTTGCTTTCCTGACTACTGCTGTTTTCATCACTATTGCTTCGTGATTTATTTTTAGTTGTAGTTGGAACTTTAGTTGTGGTTGCTGGAACTGTAGTTGTTGTGGTTGGAACGGTAGTTGTGGTGGTTGGAAGTGTGGTTGATGTTGCTGGAACGGTAGTTGTGGTTGCTGGAATTGTAGTTGTAGTTGAAACTGTGGTTGAATCTGTAGTTGTTGTGGTTGGAAATGTACTTGTTGTGGTTGGAAATGTGGTTGCTCTAGTTGGAACCATGGTAGTTGTGGTTGTAGTTGGATGTGTAGTTGTGGTTGCTGGAACTTTAGTTGTTGTAGTTGGAACTGTGGTTGTTGTGGTTGGAACTGTAGTTGTTGACATTGGAACCATGGTTGTTGTGGTTGAAGTTGTTTGTTCATTACTGTTGCTTTCCTGACTACTGCTGTTTTCATCACTATTGCTTTGTGGTTTATTTTTAGTTGTAGTTGGAACTGTAGTTGTGGTTGCTGGAACTGTAGTTGTTGTAGTTGAAATTGTGGTTGATGTGGTTACGTCTGTAGTTGTTGTGGTTGGAAGTGTGGTTGCTCTAGTTGGAACCATGGTAGTTGTGGTTGTAGTTGGAACTGTAGTTGTGGTTGCTGGAACTGTAGATGTGCTTGCTGGAACTGTAGTTGTGGTTCGTGGAACTGTAGTTGTTGTTGGAACTGTGGTTGTTGTGGTTGGAACAGTGGTGGTTGTAGATTGAACTGTGGTTGTTGTGGTTGAAGTTGTTTGTTCATTACGGTTGCTTTCTTGACTACTGCTGTTTTCATCACTATTGCTTTGTGGTTTATTTTTAGTTGTAGTTGGAACTGTAGTTGCGGTTGCTAGAATTGTAGTTGTGGTTGCTGGAACGGTAGTTGTGGTTGCTGGAACTGTAGTTATTGAAGTTGAAACTGTGGTTGATGTGGTTGGAAATGTACTTGTGGTGGTTGGAAGTGTGGTTTCTCTAGTTGGAACCATGGTCGTTGTGGTTGTAGTTAGAACTGTAGTTGTTGATGTTGGAACCATGGTGGTTGTGGTGGTAGTGGGAACTCTAGTTGTTGATGTTTGAACCATGGTGGTTGTGGTTGGAACTTTAGTTTTTGTGAATGAAACAGTGGCTGTTGTGGTTGCATCTGTAGTTGTGGTTGCTGGAACTGGAGTTGTGGTAGCTGGAACTGTAGTTGTAACTGTCGTTATTGTGGTTGGAACTGTGGTTGCTGTGGTTGGAACAGTGGGGTTTGTAGATTGAACTGTGGTTGTTGTGGTTGAAGTTGTTTGTTCATTACTATTGCTTTGGTGACTACTGCTGTTTTCATCACTATTGCTTTGTGGTTTATTTTTAGTTGTAGTTGGAACTGTAGTTGTGGTTGCTGGAACTGTAGTTGTTGTAGTTGAAATTGTGGTTGATGTGGTTACGTCTGTAGTTGTTGTGGTTGGAAGTGTTCTTGTGGTGGTTGGAAGTGTGGTTGCTCTAGTTGGAACCATGGTTGTTGTGGTTGCAGTTGGAACTGTAGTTGGTGATGTTGGAGCCATGGTGGTTGTAGTTGGAACTGTAGTTGGTGATTTGGGAACCTTGGTGGTTGTGGTTGTAGTTGTGGTTGCATCTGTAGTTGTGGTTGTAGTTGGAACTGTATTTGTGGTTGCTGGAACTTTAGTTGTGGTTGGAACTGTAGTTGTGGTGGTTGGAAGTGTGGTTGTGGTTGTTAGTACTGTAGTTGTGGTGGTTGGAACTGTAGTTGTGGTTGCTGGAACTGTAGTTGTTGTAGTTGAAATTGTGGTTGCATCTGTAGTTGTTGTGGTTGGAAATGTACTTGTGGTGGTTGGAAGTGTGGTTGCTCTAGTTGGAACCGTAGTTTTTGTGGTTGTAGTTGGAACTGCAGTTGTGGTTGCTGGAACTGTAGATGTGCTCGCTGGAACTGTAGTTGTGGTTGCTGGAACTGTAGTTTTTGTTGGAACTGTGGTTGTTGTCGTTGCATCTGTAGCTGTGGTTGCTGGAACTGTAGTTGTGGTCGCTGGAACTGTAGTTGTGGTTGCTGGAACCGTAGTTGTTGTGGTTGCTGGAACCGTAGTTGTTGTGGTTGGAACTGTGGTTGCTGTGGTTGAAGTTGTTTGTTCATTACTGTTGCTTTCCTGACTACTGCTGTTTTCATCACTATTGCTTCGTGATCTATTTTTAGTTGTGGTTGCTGGAACTTTAGTTGTGGTTGCTGGAACTGTAGTTGTTGTGGTTGGAACTGTAGTTGTTGTGGTTGGAAGTGTGGTTGATGTTGCTGCAACGGTAGTCGTGGTTGCTGGAACTGTAGTTGTGGTTGGAACTGTAGTTGTTGACGTTGGAACCATGGTTGTTGTGGTTGAAGTTGTTTGTTCATTACTGTTGCTTTCCTGACTACTGCTGTTTTCATCACTATTGCTTTGTGGTTTATTTTTAGTTGTAGTTGGAACTGTAGTTGTGGTTGCTGGAACTGTAGTTGTTGTAGTTGAAATTGTGGTTGATGTGGTTACGTCTGTAGTTGTTGTGGTTGGAAGTGTGGTTGCTCTAGTTGGAACCATGGTTGTTGTGGTTGTAGTTGGAGCTGTAGTTGTTGATGTTGGAACCATGGTGGTTGTGGTGGTAGTTGGAACTCTAGTTGTTGATGTTTGAACCATGGTGGTTGTGGTTGGAACTTTAGTTTTTGTGAATGGAACAGTGGCTGTTGTGGTTGCATCTGTAGTTGTGGTTGTAATTGGAACTGTAGTTGTGGTTGCCGGAACTGTGGTTGTTGTGGTTGTAGTTGTTTGTTCATTACTGTTGCTTTCTTGACTACTGCGGTTTTCATCACTATTGCTTTGTGGTTTATTTTTACTTTTAGATGGAACTGTAGTTGCGGTTGCTAGAATTGTAGTTGTGGTTGCTGGAACGGTAGTTGTGGTTGCTGGAACTGTAGTTATTGAAGTTGAAACTGTGGTTGATGTGGTTGGAAATGTACTTGTGGTGGTTGGAAGTGTGGTTTCTCTAGTTGGAACCATGGTCGTTGTGGTTGTAGTTAGAACTGTAGTTGTTGATGTTGGAACCATGGTGGTTGTGGTGGTAGTGGGAACTCTAGTTGTTGATGTTTGAACCATGGTGGTTGTGGTTGGAACTTTAGTTTTTGTGAATGGAACAGTGGCTGTTGTGGTTGCATCTGTAGTTGTGGTTGCTGGAACTGTAGTTGTGGTAGCTGGAACTGTAGTTGTTGTGGTTGGAACTGTCGTTGCTGTGGTTGGAACAGTGGTGGTTGTAGATTGAACTGTGGTTGTTGAAGTTATTTGTTCATTACTGTTGCTTTCTTGACTACTGCTGTTTTTATCACTATTGCTTTGTGGTTTATTTTTAGTTGTAGTTGGAACTGTAGTTGTGGTTGCTAGAACTGTAGTTGAGGTTGCTGGAACTGTAGTTGTGGTTGCTGGAACTGTAGTTGTTGTGGTTGGAAATGTACTTGTGGTGGTTAGAAGTGTGGTTGCTCTAGTTGGAACCATGGTAGTTGTGGTTGTAGTTGGAAATGTAGTTGTTGATGTTGGAACCATGGTGGTTGTGGTTGTAGTTGGAACTGTATTTGTGGTTTCTGGAACTGTAGCTGTGGTTGTTGGAACTGTGGTTGTTGTGGTTGTAGTTGTTTGTTCATTACTGTTGCTTTCTTGACTACTGCTGTTTTCATCACTATTGCTTTGTGGTTTATTTTTAGTTGTGGTTGGAACCGTAGTTGTGGTGGTTGGAAGTGTGGTTCTGGTTGCTGGAATTGTAGTTGTGGTGGTTGGAACTGTAGTTGTGGTTGCTGAAACTGTAGTTGTTGTAGTTGAAACTGTGGTTGATGTGGTTTCATCTGTAGTTTTTGTGGTTGGAAATGTTCTTGTGGTGGTTGGAAGTATGGTTGTTGTGGTTGGAACTGTAGTTGTAGTGGTTGGAACTGTAGTTGTTGTGAATGGAACAGTGGCTGTTGTGGTTGCATCTGTAGTTGTGGTTGTAGTTGGAACTGTAGTTGTGGTTGCTGGAACTGTAGCTGTGGTTGCTGGAACTGTATTTGTGGTTTCTGGAACTGTAGCTGTGGTTGTTGGAACTGTGGTTGTTGTTGTTTGTTCATTACTGTTGCTTTCTTGACTACTGCTGTTTTCATCACTATTGCTTTGTGGTTTATTTTTAGTTGTGGTTGGAACCGTAGTTGTGGTGGTTGGAAGTGTGGTTCTGGTTGCTGGAATTGTAGTTGTGGTGGTTGGAACTGTAGTTGTGGTTGCTGAAACTGTAGTTGTTGTAGTTGAAACTGTGGTTGATGTGGTTTCATCTGTAGTTTTTGTGGTTGGAAATGTTCTTGTGGTGGTTGGAAGTATGGTTGTTGTGGTTGGAACTGTAGTTGTAGTGGTTGGAACTGTAGTTGTTGTGAATGGAACAGTGGCTGTTGTGGTTGCATCTGTAGTTGTGGTTGTAGTTGGAACTGTAGTTGTGGTTGCTGGAACTGTAGCTGTGGTTGCTGGAACTGTAGTTGTGGTAGCTGGAACTGTAGTTGTGGTTGCTGGAACTGTAGTTGTTGTGGTTGGAACTGTCGTTGCTGTGGTTGGAACAGTGGTGGTTGCTGGAACTGTGGTTGTTGTGGTTGGAACTGTAGTGGTTGTAGATTGAACTGTGGGTGTTGTGGTTGAAGTTGTTTGATCATTACTGTTGCTTTCCTGACTACTGCTGTTTTCATCACTATTGCTTTGTGGTTTATTTTTAGTTGTAGTTGGAACTGTAGTTGTGGTTGCTAGAACTGTAGTTGTGGTTGCTGGAACTGTAGTTGTGGTTGCTGGAACTGTAGTTGTTGTGGTTGGAACTGTAGTTGTGGTGGTTGGAAGTGTGGTTGATGTTGCTGGAACGGTAGTTGTGGTTGCTGGAACTGTAGTTGTAGTTGAAACTGTGGTTGATGTGGTTGCATCTGTAGTTGTGGTTGGAAATGTGCTTGTTGTGGTTGGAAATGTGGTTGCTCTAGTTGAAACCATGGTAGTTGTGGTTGTAGTTGGATGTGTAGTTGTTGTGGTTGGAATAGTGGTGGTTGTCGATTGAACTGTGGTTGTTGTGGTTGAAGTTGTTTGTTCTTTACTGTTGCTTTCCTGACTACTGCTGTTTTCATCATTATTGCTTTGTGGTTTATTAGTAGTTGTAATTAGAACTGTAGTTGTGGTGGTTGGAAGTGTGGTTGTGGTTGCTAGTACTGTAGTTGTGGTGGTTGGAACTGTAGTTGTGGTGGCTGGAACTTTAGTTGTTGTAGTTGAAACTGTGGTTGCATCTGTAGTTGTTGTGGTTGGAAATGTACTTGTGGTGGTTGGAAGTGTGGTTGCTCTAGTTGGAACCATGGTAGTTGTGGTTGTAGTTGGAACTGTAGATGTGCTTGCTGGAACTGTAGTTGTGGTTGCTGGAACTGTAGTTGTTGTAGTTGTCGATGTAGTTGTTGATGTTGGAACCATGGTGGTTGTGGCTGTAGTTGGAACTGTAGTTGTAGTGGTTGGAACTGTAGTTGTTGTGAATGGAACAGTGGCTGTTGTGGTAGCTGGAACTGTAGTTGTGGTTGCTGGAACTGTCGTTGCTGTGGTTGGACCAGTGGCGGTTGTAGATTGAACTGTGGTTGTTGTTGAAGTTGTTTGTTCATTACTGTTGCTTTCCTGACTACTGCTGTTTTCATCACTATTGCTTCGTGATTTATTTTTAGTTGTAGTTGGAACTTTAGTTGTGGTTGCTGGAACTGTAGTTGTTGTGGTTGGAACGGTAGTTGTGGTGGTTGGAAGTGTGGTTGATGTTGCTGGAACGGTAGTTGTGGTTGCTGGAATTGTAGTTGTAGTTGAAACTGTGGTTGATGTGGTTGCATCTGTAGTTGTTGTGGTTGGGAATGTACTTGTTGTGGTTGGAAATGTGGTTGCTCTAGTTGGAACCATGGTAGTTGTGGTTGTAGTTGGAAATGTAGTTGTGGTTGCTGGAACTGTAGTTGTTGTTGTTGGAACTGTGGTTGTTGTGGTTGGAACTGTAGTTGTTGACGTTGGAACCATGGGTATTGTGGTTGAAGTTGTTTGTTCATTACTGTTGCTTTCCTGACTATTGCTTTGTGGTTTATTTTTAGTTGTAGTTGGAACTGTAGTTGTGGTTGCTGGAACTGTAGTTGTTGTAGTTGAAATTGTGGTTGATGTGGTTACGTCTGTAGTTGTTGTGGTTGGAAGTGTGGTTGCTCTAGTTGGAACCATGGTAGTTGTGGTTGTAGTTGGAACTGTAGTTGTGGTTGCTGGAACTGTAGATGTGCTTGCTGGAACTGTAGTTGTGGTTCGTGGAACTGTAGTTGTTGTTGGAACTGTGGTTGCTGTGGTTGCATCTGTAGTTGTGGTTGCTGGAACTGTAGTTGTGGTCGCTGGAACTGTAGTTGTGGTTGCTGGAACTGTAGTTGTTGTGGTTGGAACTGTGGTTGTTGTGGTTGGAACAGTGGTGGTTGTAGATTGAACTGTGGTTGTTGTGGTTGAAGTTGTTTGTTCATTACGGTTGCTTTCCTGACTACTGCTGTTTTCATCACTATTGCTTTGTGGTTTATTTTTAGTTCTAGTTGGAACGGTAGTTGTGGTTGCTGGACCTGTAGTTGTAGTTGAAACTGTAGCTGATGTGGTTGCATCTGTAGTTGTTGTGGCTGGAACTGTAATTGTGGTGGTTGCTCTAGTTGGAACCATGGTAGTTGTGGTTGTATTTGGAAATGTAGTTGTTGATGTTGGAACTGTAGTTGTTATGATTGGAACTTTGGTTGCTGTGGTTGGAACAGTGGTGGTTGTAGACTGAACTGTGGTTGTTGTGGTTGAAGTTGTTTGTTCATTACTGGTGCTTTCCTGACTACTGCTGTTTTCATCACTATTGCTTTGTGGTTTATTTTTAGGTGTAGATGGAACTGTAGTTGTGGTTGCTGGAACTGTAGTTTTTGTTGGAACTGTGGTTGTTGTGTATGCATCTGTAGTTTTGGTTGCTGGAACTGTAGCTGTGGTTGCTGGAACTGTAGTTGTGGTTGCTGGAACGGTAGTTGTGGTGGCTGGAACTGTAGTTGTTGAAGTTGAAACTGTGGTTGTTGTGGTTGCATCTGTAGTGGATGTGGTTGGAAATGTACTTTTGGTGGTTGGAAGTGTAGTTTCTCTAGTTGGAACCATGGTTGTTGTGGTTGTAGTTGGAACTGTAGTTGTTGATGTTGGAACCATGGTGGTTGTGGTGGTAGTTGGAACTCTAGTTGTTGATGTTTGAACCATGGTGGTTGTGGTTGGAACTTTAGTTTTTGTGAATGGAACAGTGGCTGTTGTGGTTGCATCTGTAGTTGTGGTTGTAATTGGAACTGTAGTTGTGGTTGCCGGAACTGTGGGTTGTTGTGGTTGTAGTTGTTTGTTCATTACTGTTGCTTTCTTGACTACTGCTGTTTTCATCACTATTGCTTTGTGGTTTATTTTTTAGTTGTAGTTGGAACTGTAGTTGCGGTTGCTAGAATTGTAGTTGTGGTTGCTGGAACGGTAGTTGTGGTTGCTGGAACTGTAGTTATTGAAGTTGAAACTGTGGTTGATGTGGTTGGAAATGTACTTGTGGTGGTTGGAAGTGTGGTTTCTCTAGTTGGAACCATGGTCGTTGTGGTTGTAGTTAGAACTGTAGTTGTTGATGTTGGAACCATGGTGGTTGTGGTGGTAGTGGGAACTCTAGTTGTTGATGTTTGAACCATGGTGGTTGTGGTTGGAACTTTAGTTTTTGTGAATGAAACAGTGGCTGTTGTGGTTGCATCTGTAGTTGTGGTTGCTGGAACTGGAGTTGTAACTGTCGTTGCTGTGGTTGGAACAGTGGTGGTTGTAGATTGAACTGTGGTTGTTGAAGTTATTTGTTCATTATTGTTGCTTTCCTGACTACTGCTGTTTTTATCACTATTGCTTTGTGGTTTATTTTTTGTTGTAGTTGGAACTATAGTTGTGGTTGCTAGAACTGTAGTTGTGGTTGTTGGAACTGTAGTTGTTGTAGTTGAAACTGTGGTTGCATCTGTAGTTGTTGTGGTTGGAAATGTACTTGTGGTGGTTAGAAGTGTGGTTGCTCTAGTTGGAACCATGGTGGTTGTGGTTGTAGTTGGAACTGTAGTTGTGGTTTCTGGAACTGTAGCTGTGGTTGTTGGAACTGTGGTTGTTGTGGTTGTAGTTGTTTGTTCATTACTGTTGCTTTCTTGACTACTGCTGTTTTCATCACTATTGCTTTGTGGTTTATTTTTAGTTGTGGTTGGAACCGTAGTTGTGGTGGTTGGAAGTGTGGTTCTGGTTGCTGGAATTATAGTTGTGGTGGTTGGAACTGTAGTTGTGGTGGTTGGAACTGTAGTTGTGGTTGCTGGAACCGTAGTTGTTGTGGTTGCTGGAACCGTAGTTGTTGTGGTTGGAACTGTGGTTGCTGTGGTTGAAGTTATTTGTTCATTATTGTTGCTTTCCTGACTACTGCTGTTTTTATCACTATTGCTTTGTGGTTTATTTTTTGTTGTAGTTGGAACTATAGTTGTGGTTGCTAGAACTGTAGTTGTGGTTGTTGGAACTGTAGTTGTTGTAGTTGAAACTGTGGTTGCATCTGTAGTTGTTGTGGTTGGAAATGTACTTGTGGTGGTTAGAAGTGTGGTTGCTCTAGTTGGAACCATGGTGGTTGTGGTTGTAGTTGGAACTGTAGTTGTGGTTTCTGGAACTGTAGCTGTGGTTGTTGGAACTGTGGTTGTTGTGGTTGTAGTTGTTTGTTCATTACTGTTGCTTTCTTGACTACTGCTGTTTTCATCACTATTGCTTTGTGGTTTATTTTTAGTTGTGGTTGGAACCGTAGTTGTGGTGGTTGGAAGTGTGGTTCTGGTTGCTGGAATTATAGTTGTGGTGGTTGGAACTGTAGTTGTGGTGGTTGGAACTGTAGTTGTGGTTGCTGGAACTGTAGTTGTTGTAGTTGAAACTGTGGTTGATGTGGTTTCATCTGTAGTTTTTGTGGTTGGAAATGTATTTGTGGTGGTTGGAAGTATGGTTGTTGTGGTTAGAACTGTAGTTGTAGTGAATGGAACAGTGGCTGTTGTGGTTGCATCTGTAGTTGGAACTGTAGTTGTTGATGTTGGAACCATGGTGGTTGTGGTTGGAACTGTAGTTGTAGTGAATGGAACAGTGGCTGTTGTGGTTGCATCTGTAGTTGGAACTGTAGTTGCTCGAACTGTAGTTGTTGTGGTTGGAACTGTGGTTGCTGTGGTTGGAACAATTGTGGTTGTAGATTGAACTGTGGTTGTAGTTGTTTGTTCATTACTGTTGCTTTCCTGACTACTGCTGTTTTCATCACTATTGCTTTGTGGTTTATTTTTTGTTGTAGTTGGAACTGTAGTTGTGATTGCTAGAACTGTAGTTGTGGTTGCTGGAACTGTAGTTGTTGTGGTTGGAACTGTAGTTGTGGTGGTTGGAAGTGTGGTTGATGATGCTGGAACGGTAGTTATGGTTGCTGGAACTGTAGTTGTAGTTGAAACTGTGGTTGCATCTGTAGTTGTTGTGGTTGGAAATGTACTTGTGGTGGTTGGAAGTGTGGTTGCTCTAGTTGGAACCATGGTAGTTGTGGTTGTAGTTGGAACTGTAGTTGTGGTTGTAGTTGGAACTGTAGTTGTGGTTGCTGGAACTGTAGATGTGGTTGCTGGAACTGGAGTTGTTGTTGTTGGAAATGTGGTTGATGTGGTTGGAACTGTAGTTGTTGATGTTGGAACCATGGTGGTTGTGGTTGTAGTTGGAACTGTACTTGTAGTGGTTGGAACAGTGGTTGCTGTGGTTGGAACAGTGGTGGTTGTCGATAGAACTGTGGTTGTTGTGGTTGAAGTTGTTTGTTCATTACTGTTGCTTTCTTGAGTACTGCTGTTTTCATCACTATTGCTTTGTGGTTTATTTTTAGTTGGAACTGTAGTTGTTGTTGCTGGAACTGTAGTTGTGGTTGCTGGAAGTGTGGTTGCTGTTGTTGGAACTGTGGCTGTAGTTTTCTGAAGTCTAGCGGTTGTAACTGTTGTTGTTGTGGTTGGAACTTTGGTTGTTTTTGTTGGAACTGTGGTTGCTGTGGTTGGAACAGTGGTGGTTGTAGATTGACCTGTGGTTTTTGTGGTTGTAGTTGTTTGTTCATTACTGTTGCTTTCCTGACTACTGCTGTTTTCATCACTATTGCTTTGTGGTTTATTTGTCAATGTGGTTGCAAATGCGGTTATTGTGGTTGGAACACTAGTTGTTTTGGTTGGAACTGTAGTTGTTGTAATTTGAAAGGCGGTTGTTGTGGTTTGAACATTGAATGTTGTAGTTGGAACCGTAGTTCTTGTGATCGTAATACTTTGATCTTTACATATTTTCTCCTGATTGCTGTTGTTTTCTTCACTGTTGACATCTTGATTACTGTTGTTTTTGTCACAGTTGATTTCCTGATTACTGTTTTTTTCTTCACTGTTGATCTCCTTATTACTGTTGTCTTCTTTACTGTTGATTTCCTGATTACTGTTGATTACCTGTTTACTGTTGTTTTCTTCACTGGTGATTTCCTGATTACTGCTGATTTCCTGATTACTGCTGATTTCCTGATTACTGTTGTCTTCTTCACTGTTGATTTCCTGATTACTGCTGATTTCCTGATTACTGTTGTCTTCTTTACTGTTGATTTCCTGAATACTGTTGATTACCTGTTTACGGTTGTTTTCTTCACTGGTGATTTCCTGATTACTGCTGATTTCCTGATTACTGTTGTCTTCTTCACTGTTGATTTCCTGATTACTGCTGATTTCCTGATTACTGTTGTCTACTTTACTGTTGATTTCCTGAATACTGTTGATTACCTGTTTACGGTTGTTTTCTTCACTGCTGATGTCCTGATTACTGTTGATTACCTGTTTATTGTTGTTTTCTTCACTGCTGATTTCCTGATTACTGCTGAATTCCTTGTTGCTTTGGTACTTTTTTCCTCGCTTTTCACCTCTGCTGCCCCCTGCTGTAGAAACAATTTTGTGACAATGAAAATGATAGATGTTTTATAATGAATGCTTCATCCTGGACAGTGGCTCTCACACTCACCAGTGTTTTGGAGCCCGTCTATAATATCATTGTATATGTGTTTATATGTAGAGCTATATATTGTATAGCTGTAGTAGATGACCATACCTGAAGCACTCAAAACTACTAAACAAAGTCTCCAAGCCCTGGCCAGACGCTTACTACATAAGAGAATGAAGCCAGATGGATAAACAGGCTGTTCACAACACAACCTGTGAAAGTGTACGCTCAGTGGAAGAGTAACCACAGGGGAGAGAACCACCAAGGCTGGAAACTAGACGTTCTGGAAAAGCGTATGGGAGAAGGAGGCAGCACAAAACGGCCACATCCCAGAACAGAACTCAGATACCGTCACAGATGCAGACATTCGAGAAAGAGTCTCATTAGAGTGTGGAAAACTGGACAGCACCTGGCCCTGTTGTGATTGATGCCTACTGAATAAGGACATCACCCCATGAGCGCCTAGCAGCACAAATGAACCAGCTGCTGAGGGATGGGACTCTGAGGCTAACCAAAGGGAACAAAGGGACTGAAGGGTGCAGAGGAGCCAAACACCAGCTCCTGTAGAGACACCAGAGGAGCCAAACACCAGCTCCTGAAGAGACACCAGAGGAGCCAAATAGCAGCTCCTGGTTGACAGAACAGTCGCCCAAGACTGCCGATCATGACACACCCACCTGTGCACAGCCTGGATTGATTACCAGAAACCCTATGACTCTATGCCACACACATGGATTATGGAGCATCTACCATGCTCTGTCCCCACTGCTGTTCTGTAAAGGCCTGAACCGCCTGACATAAACTCCCTGATCCATACCAGGATCTAGAGGATCTGCAGCCCGACATCCAGATTTCATTATAGGAATCGAGAAATGTAGGAGAATGGTGCTCGGGGAGGCAAGGTAGTCCACACAGAAGGGATCTCACTCCCAGAGAGAACAAAAGCAGACCTTGAGGAAAGTTACGCCACAGGCAAATGGCAAACTGGAACAGGCAACAAGGAAAGCGGAAACTGCCAAATACCTCCAGAGCAGCGGTTTTGAACCTGAACTCAATCAAACCCGAGGGGTTCGGTGAGTCTGTCTCAGGTAAAAGTTAAAGTAATGAGAGAGGAGCTAGTGAGAGTTTAACGGTAAAAGCGTCAGTAGTGAGAGAGGAGATACTGTATACAGTGACTTTCCAAGGACACACACGGCAACCATCATCAATAAGAACTGATTTCACACATGCCAACCTCTACCTCACGTGTGATTACATCCTATCACCAAAGAGTATTCCTATTTACTGTCAATACCATTAAAACTGAATTAAGCTCCCATCCTCAAACAGGGCCTAGGCTCCACTATGACACAAATTACACAGAAAACTGTTTTTTTTTTTTACAGCAAACGATAATAATGAAATGGTACACTACAAAGACTGTACATTGAGCTGATATGCACACAGTTTGGTCAAATAACTAAAAAGGAACTCACCCATAAGCAGGAAGCAGATAAAAACTATCGCCATCTGTTAGACAAAATGACACATTTCATTATAATTAGTTTCAAAAGCACTTTGTTGATTTAATGTGTCTTACCGTATGTCTTACCCAGTATGGCATTGAGTTAGCTTTCATTTCAACAATTTCTTACAAGGAGGAGTTTACTTTAAACCTGTAACAAAATATAGTAATGAGTGAAGTAATGCAATCAGAACTGTAAACTCTGCAATCATGTGCAATGTGCAATGTCCACTGAATGTCACTTTATATACTTATTATCCTGCCCTATATGTGTGCAACTTTATACTATACAGATAAATATGCCTCAATATGTATATTGATATCGCAGAATGTATAGCTATCTAAGAAACATAGCAGCTACTTATATTGTACTTTTAACAGAAGGGAGCACATCACCCCTGTTAGCGTCCCTCCACTGGATCCTTGTGCGTTTTAGAATTGATTTTAAGATTTTACTGATTACTTTTAAAGCTCGTTTAGGTCTGGCACCCAGCTATATTTATGAACTTTTAACCCCCTACGAGCCCCCCCGCGGCCTTAGATCCTCGGGCAGGTCCCTGTTGACTGTTCCAAGGTCGAGGCTCCGGACGAAAGGTGACCAAGCCTTCTCTGTCCGGGCTCCTCGGCTTTGGAACGGCTTTTTAAATCACTTCTTAAAACCCACTTTTATCAAACAGCTTTTAATTGTCAGCTTTAAACTTATAATGTCGTGCTTTGTTTTGTCTTCTTGTGTTTCCTCTGTGTGTCTTGTCTTCTTGTATTCCATCTTATTGTTTTAACTTCGCATTATGACTGATTTATTGTTTATTATGCTGACTGTGCAGCACTTTGTTAACATTGTTTTTGAAAAGTTCTTTACAAATAAAGATTTATTATTATTTATTATTATTATTATTGTATATTTTGTGTATTACTGTCCTGAATGTGCGCTGCAACAATGACATTTCCCCGCTGTGGGACGAATAAAGTATTTCTTTCTGATCATATCTAATCACCAACTATTGCAAACATTAAAATTGGATAAAAATCACTCACCAGTCCAGTGTTGAAAGATATGTTAGAAATGAAAGAAGTGATCTTATTGTCGCTGGTCACTTGTTAGGATCTGGTTGGTATCAAGTGAGAGGTTTTATAAGTAGCTTTAGTTAATGACAGAAACCAGCAGGCTCTAGCAGAAACACCTTGGATTTAAGTGTTTTAGCGGATGGAATGTTAGCGCCGTTATTGATAGTCAGCTATTTTCTTTTGTCTGATGAGTGAGCAATCAGCTGAGTATGTCTCCAACGTCACAACATAAATCCCTCCTCTTTGATTAGTGCTCTCGATTATACACTAATTAAGGTGTTATTATGTCTTTACAGGGCAAATTAACTCAAGTCTTTTGAAATTGTCTTCAGCCACTGCCCCTTAATTATCAAAGTGTGACCAATCCCTTGATTATGAAAAATGACTGGACTGTCTTCTTACTCTTGGTCACCCGAGGAGCTGCAGAAGAGTAAATACAAAAACATTTGGTAATGTAGACACAGCGCCAGGTCCTGCTCTACCACCACGCTACAAACATAGAAAACAGTAGGAATGAGGAGCACACAACACAAGATCAATTTTTTTCCTTTTGCTTGAATACATTTTGTAAACATTTCCCACATTGTCCTAAAACTCTACACACAAGACCCTGACACACACTGAAACATAAACCATTCATATCTGGGTCAAAATGAAACTCCTCGATCAAAACTCAAACTCTAATATCAAAACTAAAATTGTCAAAATGAAGCTCCAAGGACAAAAGGATACACACTTTCATCATGTGAACCCACTTTCAGATTTGAAGCAACACACAACAGCACTTTACATAAAACACTGCAGTCATTTTCACTGTTTTATTCTGTTTATCAGTTATATTTCTGTGAAGCTCAATGGAACTGTTTTTGTTCTCAACAAAGGTTTACCCACAACAGGAAGTAGATACAAATAATATCAGTGCAATACAGTACATCACAGTACTACAGTACTCTGTACATCACAGTACTACAGTACACTGTACATCACAGTACTCTGTACATCACAGTACTACAGTACACTGTACATCACAGTACTACAGTACTCTGTACATCACAGTACTACAGTACTCTGTACATCACAGTACTACAGTACTCTGTACATCACAGTACTACAGTACACTGTACATCACAGTACTACAGTACTCTGTACATCACAGTACTACAGTACTCTGTACATCACAGTACTCTGAACATCACAGTACTACAGTACACTGTACATCACAGTACTACAGTACACTGTACATCACAGTACTACA